AATTTACTCTTATGTTTGCAAGAAGAAGAAATACAAATACACTCCCAGACAATATTTTATTCTTTTGGTTACAAACATATTTCACCATACACACGGACGAGTACGTCTCTTCATTATTTCGGGTTTTTGTTTCATATAAGATTCCTCCTGTGCCCTTAAAAATTTTAGCCAGCATCTCTTCTACTCCTAGTTTTCCTTGCACATTTAAATCCTATCCAATTTGGATTATATTCTTTTATACTTTTTCCATCACTTGATCCTAGTAGTTGACCGATATGTGCAACAAGGTCAATTGTACCCCTGGGAGCATGGAAGGAGATGTACAATTTGTTGGGAATATTTCTGATGGAAATATATCTAGGTAATATTTGTGATTTTGTTGTACGATGTGTTTAGTTCACGTCAAAATTGAAAATTTGATTGAAATTGGAACGATGTGATAGAAAAGTTAGAAGTTTGTGTGTAGAAAAGTTTTGATGTGATGAAAAAGTTAGAAATTTGAAGAAAAAGTTAGGAACTAAACCAGGCCTTACATATCATATGTGTCGTATAATCTTTATCTATTATAAAAATTGAAGATGATTATATAGTCACATCGTCTTTCTTTCGTTTTTTTCGTCCGCATATTGTATCCGATGCGAAGTATTTCCGTGTATCGCTTTAGAGCAAGGTTAATAGTATAGCCAACTACTGGCTCCAAGACATCTATAGCCAATCTAATTTCATACAATAGTTAACTATAAAAATATACTACACTACTAATACCCGGTCCCACCTCTCATACACATATAACATCTTGGAGTCCGTGTTATAGCCGGCTACAAATTTATAGTCCGCTTTCTTCTCTCTCTTCTCTTTTCTTCTCGATATATGGTTATAGCCGGCTTATATCCTGCTATTGTACCTGCTCTTATAAAATCATGCAGGCCTGTCTACTCTCCGTTGAAGCCTGGAGCGTATGGGTTTCTGGCCTGGGTAGGCCTTGCATGTGGTGTGGTGGGCTTGCCTGCCCACCTAAGACAAGGACGGACATGGATCTTTGATAGTCTATCCAACATCATTTTTTTAAAATCCGTTGCAACGGTTATTTGCTAGCCACGCACGGAAATTAAAGAGTTATTTGCCGGGTGATTTGTTCCGTCGTCATGGAATCCAAAAGGAGAACTGTTAGACCACGGTATACCGTCCGAACAGGATAGACTAATGATCAACGCTCTACACCTTATCTTGATTCGTCTACACAAAGTCATCCACGCACCACCACCCACCGCGTGCAAGCTACTCCCTCCGTCCTCTATCACCCTCTCTGTGCCTACAACCACTATAGCCACTTGCCACCGGGAGCTCTTTTCTTGCCACGTCGACCGCAACGCCATCTGGGCCAGCCATTGGTACCGTCCCCAAGAAGCCGACATGAGTGCGACGACGGCAGAGGCTGCACGCAAAACGAAGCTCATATTATTGTATGATTAATTAAGTATTAACTATTTTTTTTGAAAAATGGATTAATATGATTTTTAAAACAACTTTCATATAGAAAGTTTTTTTTGCATAAATCACACTGTTTACTAGTTTGAAAAGTGTGCACGCGGAAAATGAGAGATGTGGGTTGGAAAAATGTGGGAAAGAACACATCCATAGTGTGTTGGGGAGAGGAAGAAGATGACTTGTTTGGTACAAAACGATACCTCTAGGTACGCTTTGATACTTTTTTTTTTACCAAGTCTAATATACAACTACTGGTCTTGATGCCTCGTGGATATCAGACCAGGTACTATCCACCTTAGTACGATGGTATCAGGTCTGATACCCCAAGTACCGAATCTGATATCCCAAATATCGGATCTGATACCTTTGGTAGCAGACTGGTACCTCGGGTACCAACCCGATCTGATACGGGTACCAACCAGATCTGGTACCTCAGGTATCAAGTATCGAATCTGATACGGATTCCAACCAAATCTGGTATCTCAAGTATTAACTATTGAATCTGACACCACATCAGATCTGATACCTGTGTGGCGACTCAATACGAGCGCATGCATGCGTGGGGGAGTGCAGTTGACACATGAAAGGTATGGGAGAGCGATACGTGTGCGTGGGAGGAAGAGATATAGACCCATGGAGACACATCCGCACGATTGGTGGGGGCAACGACTCGTCGTTAACTCATTATAATCTATCCCGTTACCCGGGATGCGGTTCACAATAGGTTTTGTGATCCAAAAGACCAAAAATAGCTTCCGTTCTTTTCTTTCCAGCTTATCGCATCGTTTCTTTTTTTCTTCTCAGTTCATAGCGCATCTGCTGCTCTGATTCTCTCTCTGTAGCGATGGAACGAAGGTGTGCACCGTGAGCCTGCTGGGAAGGTCAGATGGAGATGACCTGCATGTGTGGCTGCACCGTTCCATTTTCGGAACAGTAGAGTAATTGATCCATCATGTTGGTCAAATATAAATATGTCCGTTTTCCTATTATCACCATAAATAAATAAAAATAAAAAAGTTAATGGATAAGACAACAGTGTGGCATATAGCTAAATTTAGAAAACTTTTCATACTAATCATTCGAGAACTTTCTAGGGTAAAGCTATTTTCATAATTATCATAAAATAAACGCGATATGAAAGGCACAACACGCAAGCCAATGGGCAATCCTCTATAATCTAGCAAGACGGAATTGGAATGGGTGTTTAAGATGTTGTTTTTTTTATGAAAAATAAGACTATTCAACATTTGTTTATGGATTGTCATTATGCAAAGTTTGTTTGGAGAGTTGTTCAATTTTCTTTTGGATTATACCTTCTTTCTAGAAGCATATATTATAATTTTTATGGTTGGCTTTAGGGTGTGGACAAGAAAAAGAGTAAACTGATACTTGTTAGTGCCTCGGCCTTATGTTGGGCTCTGTGGTTGTGTAGAAATGATAGGGTTTTTGACAAATCACCATCTGTTTCCTATATATAGGTAATTTTCAGGGCAACATATTGGTTTTGGCTATGGGCTCAACTACAAAAGTGTGAGGGAGATGGAGAATTCCTGAATGTTGCATGTCGTAATCTTAAGACAACGGTTATGTAACTTTTTGCCAACCATGAACGGGGATTCACCAATAGACTAGAATAATATTTTCCTTGTCATGTTAGGTCTTCTTTTAATTTTGGTTGGTGTGTTTGTTTTATTTTGGACAACACCTTTTTAGTGTGCTACTTTTTATAATAATTGGTTGTACCTAAGAAAAGGCCAGGATCGATGTTTCATTCCATTATCTACAAAAATGGACAGTTCTCTTAATTTACAACCAAATGCACTCTACATGCAAGTTTCCGCCCGCCTATTTTTGTCCAGTGTTCGATCCAATGCCCATGGCTGGCTTGATGATCTTTCTACTTCCATGTTCCATCAGACGCTCCTCATCATATTTTCAGATTCTATTCTCTCAAAAAAAATATTTTCAGATTCTGACAAAAATTACCAACTAATGCCACGGAACGGAACTCCAGATCCTATCCCTAACTACCGATGCACCCACCTCTTACCAGGGAAGTCCTCTCCTTCCATCTAGTTATCTCCCATTGCAACACACGGTTATTTTTTCTACTCCCTCCGTTTCACAATGTAAGTAAATGTAAGTCATTGTACCATTTCTCATATTCATATTGATGTTAATGAATCTAGACATATCATCAAAATGAATATGGGAAATTGTAGAATGACTTACATTGTGAAACGGAGGAAGTAGTATATACAAAATTAACAAATTTGAGTACTACATATATACTCTTTGCAATAAATTAAAGAAATAAAGTTTGAGTATTTTCTGCCATTACATAAAAATAAATATGTCACGAATAATAACATACACTTCTTATTGGCATGGTAGATGCCCTTGCAATCTTTGCAGACGATCTGTGAAGGAACACCTGAAAAAAAAAAGAAATCAAGAGCCGACAACGAGGAGTCATCTCAGCAGTCGTGGGAAAAGAAAATAAAACCGATGAATATGCACGAGGAGACAAGGGAGGGATCCAGAGGCTCGGGAGTGGCATGAGGAGATCGAGGCGAGCTAGGGTTTAGTAGTGGAACCATGCATACTCGACTTCTCACTATGGCGGTCTCCACTCTCCAAGGGCATCTCAATTCTCAACATACGGTCTTGATGTGGGCTGGGGGTGAAAACCGTGGGCTAGTGGGAGTTGCTTGAGAGGGATCAAGAGGAAGAGGGTAGGTGAAGTTTAATTGGCTGACAGACCAGTTCATGGGAGAAAGGTTTTGCTGGACGTCGTGTGTTGGGCGCCGAAGCAGTGCACGAGATAGGGTGTGAGGAGGGATCACGTCTGTATAAAAAGCATAGTGTATGTGCATTGCAATATACTCCTTCCGTTTTTTAATAGATGACGCCGTTGACTTTTTCTCACATGTTTGACACCATTCGTCTTATTCAAAAATTTTATGCAAATGTATAAGATATAAATCACACTTAAAGTACTATGAGTGATAAAACAACTCATAACAAAATAAATTATAATTACGTAAATTTTTTGAATAAGACGAATAGTCAAACATGTGAGAAAAAGTCAACGGCGTCATCTATTAAAAAACGAAGGTAGTATTATCATTAACATATTATTAATATCTCTTAATTGTTTACATATTTGTGCTCACACGTAGACCTTGTTAGTTCCATACTGAGTTTGTGTGAGTATTGACATGTGATCCCTCTGTAGCCCCATAAGTTAGGAATTGGTAGTGAGGATAATAGCAGAACCACCACCACTACTCCCTTTTATAGAATGATAAATGGGTTAACGTCGTCTAATTATCCATAGAAGTTCCTTTTTTTTAATTCTATACTATTTGTATGTACATGTATATAAAATATACACGCGTACGCGCCATATTTTCATACAAGGCACTGTGCATATATATACTGGTGCATTTATAGAAGGAAGTCATACGATGGAGATCACAGCAACATCAAACCCAGATAAGATGAAGGTATTAATTAGCGTACTTATAAAATCATCCATTATATATCTAGACGCGCAGATACACTAAATAAACAAATTAAATAGATATATATACTACTACGACTAAACTTAGACGGACGACATGTGGACTACGGCACGTAGATGCAGGGCTGAAGACGAAGGTCGATAGCTCATTCGTCGTCGAAGAGGCTGAACACGATGTCGTCCTCCTCCTCCTCCTCAACCTTCTCCTCCTCCTTCTCCTTCTCACCAGCTGCCGCGGCGCCACCACCGGCAGTGGCGGCGGCTGCCGGAGCGGCGCCGACACCGCCGAAGGCGAGCATCTCGCTCCCGGCGGCCAAGATCTCGGAGAGGTCCTTGCCGGCGACCTGGTCGAAGAGGTAGCCGAGCTTGTCCTCGTCGACGTCGGCGCCGACGGCGCCGAGGATGGCGCGCACGTCGTCCTTGGTCGGGCTCGCGTTGCCGCCAATGGTGGCCATCAGGTACGCCGCCACGAACCTCATTGTTGCCCTTCTTCGAATCGAAGCTAGCCGACGACGACTCGAACGACGACGTAACAAAAACTGAACTGAACTGAACTCGCGGTTGCTGCGCTAGCTCTGGTGGTGGTGGTGGTGGGATACGATCGAGGAGGACGACGAGAGCTGGTATTTATAGCGTGGGGCGGGGTAGTGTGGTGTACGAGTCGGGCTCGTGTACGGGGGTGTCCTTTTCCCAGTCGGATGCAGCAGTTTTGATGGCGATTTCGTGGCCGCGACGAAACGGTCGATCGAAGTGGAGACGATCACGGTCACGGATTAGCTCTGTAACTGCACGCACGCACTACTTACGAAAAGCCTTTATGTGCTGGTTATCAACTTCACATGGTGTCGGATTTGGTAACCGGCATCGATCGAGCAGGTGCTAACGAGGAGTTATGTTAATGGTGTCGGTTCCTCTAAGGTATATACTCCCTCCAATTCTATATTAATTGACGTTTGGGATAAAGTTGAGGTCAAACTTTTATAACTTAGATTATCAATAACTTTAAAAATATTTAGTATAAAGGAACTAGAACAACATATATAGATTTGTCTTTTAAAGTACTATAATAAAAGTAAACATGCATTTATTTATTATATATATTATAATAGAAAAAATAAGGTCAAAGATGTATCTTGTAGACCGTGTCATTGTCCAAAACGTCAATTAAAATGAAACCGGAGGCACTGGTGGAGAAACCATTTATACTCCCGGTTGGTAACCCCTTTAGTCCCGTTTTCCAACCGGGACTAGCAATCCGGGACTAAAGATGCCCATCTTTAGTCCCGGTTGAAATAATCGGGACTAAAAATAGATCTTTAGTCCCGGTTGGTATCTTTAGTCCCGGACTAAAGATAGGGTAGCAGCAGTCCCATTAGGTCTCATTTTCTTTTTTTTCATTGTTTCTTAGCCAGAGATTAAACCCTATATTTTCTCCCCAATCGAGTGGGATGCATAGTCCTAAATCAAACCCCAAATCAAAGTAATATCCAAAACATTCACATCACAAATCTTAAGTTACTTGTACACACAAATCAAATACATCACAAATCTTTAAAAAAATTACACACAAACCAAATACATCACATATTATACATCTCAGATCCATACAACAAATCACAAAATTATACATATCAGAGAATCACAAATTGTAAAAAAAAAAGAAAAAAATGGATGTCGGTAGCGCTGCCTGTAGCCGCTCGCTACTCGGCCCATGCGCGGCGCCTGCTGCGTGCGGCCCCGCTGGGCGCGGCCCCGCCGGCCGCCTGCCAAGTGTGGTCCCGCTGGGCACGGGAAGGGAGGAGGGGGAGGAGGCGGCCCTTGCTGGGCGTCGGATGGGAAGGGAGGAGGGGGAGGAGAGGGCCGGGATGGGAGGAGGAAGGGGAGGAGGAGGAGGAGAGGGAGATGGATCTGAGGAGAGATCAGATGGGAAGGGAGGGGGAAGGAGAGTGCCGGGATGGGAGGAGGAAGAGGAGAGGGAGATGGATCTGAGGAGAGGAGAGGCCGGTTGTTGGTGAGAGGATAGGGAATAGGGATTATATACTACACGTGATTTTACCAACTGGGAGTAAAGATCTAGGAGATCTTTAGTAAAGTGATCTTTAGTCCCGGTTTGTGACACCAACTGGGACTAAAGATCCCCGCCCCTCTGACAAGGTGACAGGGGATGAACCGGGACTAAAGATGAACCAACCGGGACTAAAGATCATAGAATGGCTCTGGGGTTTTAAACCAGGACTAAAGATCCTCTTTAGTCCCGGTTCTTTTTTAACCAGGACTATTGTGGTTTTGGGGCGACCGAGCAAAGATCAGTTTTCTAGTAGTGAGGGAGTATGGTTTGTAAAAAAAAAAAGGCTTGGTTTGGCTAAATACGAGCCGATGCCTCAAAACCACAAACGATAAATCGGAAATCTAATGAAAAATGAAACAAGTTCATATCAAGGAATCAGAAAATCAGAGAACCAATAAGTTTATAAGTTTATAGATGTTCAAGGATCACAAAATCAAATATTCATTGATAAGTTCACATCATAGAACCTCAATAAATTTATACATTCACAAATTCATCCACGAGTTAATTAATACATGGAAAAAATACGAATTACCCCCCTAAACTATCGTGGTCGACCGAATTACACCATGAACCCAAAAACCAGACATTACTTACCCTGAACTTTCAATACCCGATGAATTACCCCCCTCGGTCCAATCCAGAGCGGTTTTATCCTACATGACGTATGCATGGCAATTCAGTCAGCATTTTATTTATTTAAAACATGTGGGTCCCACCTGTCATACTCTTCATCTCTCCTATGTCTTCTTTCTCTCTTATTGGGCAGCGCGCAGGGGCGAGGAGGTGCGCGGCGACATGGGGATGGACAGTGGGCTGGAGAAGACGCAGCACCGGCATCTGCCAGCGGTGGAAGGCACCGCCGCACGGAGGCTGCACGCCGTGGAGGCCGAGCTGGGGCGGTCGGCGCCGGCGCGGGAAATCGAGGCGGTGGCACGAGATGAGGAGGAGGCAGCCTCGCCGTGTGGCTGCGCCGCCACCAACAGGAACCTCACCATGGCGCGCTCCGTCGCCCGCGCGGCCACGCCGTCGGCACCACCGTCGTCGCCAACGAAGACGACGCAGGTCTGCGCACCCGCCGTGGCCTCGTCGGACGCATCACCTTCCCCAAAGACGGCCTCGTCGTCGATGATGGTGTCGGCAGTGGAGGACGCCGCTGCGCCGAGGCTGAACGTTACGGGGCCCGAGCTGGGGTGATCGGCGCTGGCGTGAGAAACGGAGGCGACACGAGGCGAGGCGGCGGCACGCGAGATGAGAGGAGGCGGACTCACCGTGCGGCCGCGCCGCCACCAGCAGGAACCTCGCCGCGGCGCTCTCCGTCACCCGCGTGGCCACGCCATCGGCGCCACCGTCGATCGATTTCTATTTAAATTGATGGATTTAGGTTGTTAGATTTTTTAATAAAAAAAATCCAAACCTCTCTCCCTCCCTCCCAACCCATGCACTGTTAAAATCCATTAAACATTTTATTAACACCCCCAACCTACTATATGACATACTTAAATTAAAGAAAATCTTTGAATTTTTTTTAAAACAGACAATTATATACTAAAAGTTCATTAAACATCCTACAAATACTCTTAAGCCGCCAACTTGTACCTTACAAATGCTCCTAGGTCGTCAAGTGGCACACTAATCTAACCATTGATTGTTTACTTAAATAGGTGATCCATTATTTTTATATATTAGATCTTTTCTTTTAGAAAAAGCACACATTCGGAACCTCCCGTCACGTGCATACCAATGAGCTATCTTCATGATAAATTAAAATCAAAATTATTTTTACATTAAAAAACCCACAAAGAAACCTCCACCTATTAGGTCTAGCAGCTCTCGCTACGTCACTCTAAATATCCTATGAATGCTTCTAAACTGCTACGTGGTGCTATTAAATTAAAGAAAATACTAGAAAATCTTTAAAAAGGATAAAACATTTGGCTATCTATTTGTTAGTTTTTTAATAAGAAAAAATCCAAACCTCTCTCCGTCCCTCCCTATCCCCATGCGGTATTAAAATCCATTATATATCTTATAAATGCATCTAGGCAACTATATGACATTCTTAAATTAGAGGAAAATTCTTAGAAACTTTGGAAAAAAAATCCAACCATCATATTTGACATAAATCGATGGACACATTATTTTCATGGATTAATTGACACATTATTTTAGGTCATTGGATCTTTTTTTTAAAGAATACCCTAAACCTTCTTCCCTCCCTCCTTTGTGGCAAGTGGTGTTAAAAGTCCATTAGGTACACATCTTATAAATGCCCTAAGATGTAACGTCATTCTCTTAGGTTTTGACATAAACATCTGGCACATTATCTTAGGTTGTTAGATGAATGATTTAGAAAAACATCCCAAACCTCCCTCCCTCCCTGCTCGTGTACAGTGTGCGCCATTCTTCTCTCTGTTTTTTATCTCCTTGACAATTAAAATTAAAATTATCTATATAGGAAAAAAATACAAATGGACCTCCATCTATTACTTATATCCCATTAGACATCTAATGACTTTCTACCAACTTAATTTATTTCTTTTAACATGCAGTTGAGGGCTACTTTCCTATACGAATCGACCGTGATACTTTTAAAATGATCTTTTTCTCATAACGTCCGAATTACACATATGATCTATGAAGTCACTAATTATAGCTGGTATTGATGGTCGGTTGCTTTGTATTTTTTAAGATTTTCTAGTACTTTCTCTAATTTAATAGTACCACGTAGTGATTTAGAAACAGCGAGAGGTGCTAGACCTAGTAGTTAGTCTATTTGTGATTTTTTTTTGCCTGTAAATAGAAAATAACACATGAATGAAAATATGGAAGGACAGTAGGGAAGTACGTACAGTTCATACGTACGTTTGTACGACGTTGGTTCCGGATGTTCTTTTCTATCTAACCATCTAAAACAAATGGGTCCATTAATTTAAGACTTGGCGACTTAAGAGCGTTCGTAGCGTACCACTTAGCGGTCTGGAAGCGTTTATATGAAGTATAACGGATTTTTAAGTATAGAATAGATAATAGATAGATAGATATATATATATAGCCACAGATTATCTATTTAATTATAGGCATAAATTAAATATTTTTAAAAATAAACCAAAATAAGTGCTCAAATCAATGACAACGGAAGAAAGTTTTTGAGAAATTATGTTTTTAGATGCATGTAGTATATGAAGAAGCCGAAAAGAATGTAACCTAAATTTACACTTTTCAGCTTCTTCACATACCTAAATTTACATTAAAGCTGCATAATGTACAGAATAATAACAAATGGAATCTCCTTAAAGAGATTATAGGAGCAGTTAGCAGCTAACGGAAGAAATTATGTTTATAATAATACATAACACATTTTTGCAAGTGGTCGGTAACCCATACACCTATTTATCAAACCGTGTACAACTAAGGGCCTATAGACATCAAGATTTTGCGTGTTCAAATTCCACTACCACCCATGAAAATGATTTTCCCATTTTTCTTTTTGTAGTCATGATGAAAATAACAAAAAAAATTTGTATTTTAATAGACATCTTTCCTTATAAGAACAGTCTATAAAATCACTCTATTTATATAAATGTCCTGATTTTCACATGTAGTTACTTAGGGAAACCACTCGTGAAAGATCTATTTTCATGATCAGATTTTTTTTAAAAAAAATTGTCTATAAAAATAGGTTGGTTTATCACCCTCTGACGCTTCTAAGCCCCAATTTAACGGGTGCTTTTCATTTTAGGCCGGATGTGAAAATAAAAGCCTAAGACATGTACAAATGTTTTCATAGTAGTGTTATGACAATTATTTGAGAAAGTTGAAAAGTTGTCCTTAAAATCTTTTCTAAGAAATGCTAATAAAGAATATTTTTCGAAAAACTCCTGCTAATAATGCAAGGTCCATAAACTGAAAAGAAAAAAAGGCAGCCGGGCATGCCTCCTTCGAAGCAGCAGCAATTCTGACAAGAAAAATATTCGACAGGATTTTTACCAATCAACATCGAAGGGGGAAACAGTTTAGCTACTTCCTCCATTTTATGTTATAAAGCATTTTAAATTTTTAATAGTTAATTTTGTTTAAATTTGACCAAATTTATAGAAAAACATAGTTTTCCATGTATGGCTTAAGCAGGAACCAAAGTACAGGGCCTTAGTGAGTAGTGCATAAGGATAAAATACCCAAGGGAAATTACAAATATCCTGATGAAACGATCCCAGAAATTAGTTAAAAAATAAAATTATATATAGCTGAGTTCCAAAACTATGCATTGCATTCAGCCGCTCAGCATTTTTCAGTTCATTTACTGTATTCTACTTCCTCTTGCATTGTCCACATTCATATATATGTTAATGAATATATGTATGTCTAGATTCATTAATATCTGTACGAATGTGGGAAATGCTAGAAAGTCTTATAACCTGAAACGGAGGTAGTATTATTTCCCTCCATAAAACCCAGTAATATCAGCATGTAAATAATTCAGTTCAATGCACCAACATCCCCAACTCAAGCTAATCTATCATCAACGGCAAAAAGGGCAAATACTGCATTAATTCCGGACAACTATCTAACAGAAGCTATAGTTTGTAAGACCGTCTCTCAACATCTGAGATCTGGACACGAACGTGATATGACTCGTTCGCGGCCGGCCACTACACTTCTCTTCCCTTGTGAGTGTGGATGACGCAGTTGGACCTCGGGTAGGAAACACAAGTGAGGACATAGCCATCAGCCCGCTGCGCATCGTCGAGGTACGACCCGTTGGGCTGATCGACGACGCCATCCTCGATCCTGCCGGCGCAGGTGGAGCAATCCCCGGCGCGGCACGAGTAGGGCAGCTCCAGCCCCGCCGTCTCAGCGGAGTCCAGGATGCAGGCGTCACCCGGGGCGTCGAACTCGTGCTCCACCCCTTTCGGCGAGACGAGCTTCACCTTGTAGAGATCCACCGCAGGGACTCAGAGCTTCCTCAGGCCGGCTTTCGGGGTCGGGGTCGCGGAACGGCGGTCGGGGTAGCTGATCACGCGGGTGGAAAGGCTTCGTGGCGCAGCCATGGGAGGCTGCGTTCCGATGCTGCGCCTTCCCGGTGCGAAGGAAGTGATGAATTTGCATGTTGTCATCTTGAAGCTTGGATGGACCTGATCAAGCATGTTCAGATATGGCATGAGATAGGTTAGCTCGCTTTTGGTAACAAGAATGAGATTTCAGTTAATATAAGGTGGAAATAGAAAGCACAAGAGAAGTAGAAAATTACAATTTAGCATGTAAGTAACATTTTTCAGATTACAAAATTATTATGCAGTTCCACACAGGTGCTAGCTCTTCCTATTCAGACCCTACATCATGTCAGAGCGTACACATGCTGCAAACCTTAATAAGAACAAAGTTGTCACCACAAACCTATCAAAATTACTATTATTATATGATAAAACTCCATAATAAAAGATAAAGTTTGGAACAAGAATTTGAAATTGAGGGGATTATATGAAAGGAACAGATCTGCAGGATGGAAAATCAAGGATCTAACTGAATATGTAACAGAATACACATCCAATACATGGATATTCAAATGGCTGGATCAAAAAACTTGTTTAAGTAATTAGAAAGAAGCTTCCCAGTTTACGCCAAAAAAAAATACTTGACTCGGTAAAAATTACAGTCTGGTTTCTACAACAGAGTAATTCGCTAGTCTTAACGCTGGATCGGAGTTTCCAGAAATATAAGAGTCTGGCTGCTGTATGTAATCCACACACTCACCATACTTTGATTAATATATTAATCCAACGGAATCGACAATTTCAAGGCACCCAATATCATCAAACTAACTAACATTAGATTGTTACTTCTACATCAGAAGAATCAAACATCAAGTTTTTGTGCTTTAAACAATAAAACACACTGGAACTATTGAAAGTTTAGTGAAGAATCGAAGTGAAAAATGGGCTAGAGAACAATATGATGAATTTCCACTGTTATATGACTTCCTAAAAGATATACGGACTGCATGTTTCTAAAGAGGAAAAGAATCATCTACCACTACCACTACAACAGGCACATCCGCAAAGAAAACACAATGCTGTCATGCACTCATGCTCTGAACTATTACAACATAGACATCAGAGATATATGCCAATACAACTAAAACATGCAACCAATTCCTTCTCACGGGTAGGGCACAATTATTTCCTTGAAGCAATATGATTATATGAAAGATGCAAAGCATGTGCTCCTACCATTCACTAAAAGCAACAAGACCAATTTTCACCACTCTTCCACATTTTTTTCTCCTATATTTCCATTATAAATCGGGAATCAGTTCAACAAGGAGCACAAGAAATGATCAACCTCAACAAGAACCCTTAATTAACTGGTGCCAGTGCCACCATACCTAAAAGAACCATAAATCCCTTGCGGACGTTGATAAAAATAACCTATCACACCCAGTTCCTCCAATCCACAAATCCCAATACCTGATTTATCAATCACACAAATTTCCGTTATGTTCACCCACCAATCTAAAGACTTTGAGGCCTCAAATAACAAAACCACATTAGTCCCCAAATCATTCCACCTCCGCAGATTGCTGGAAACCTAATCGACAACACTTAACAACTGCTTTGCCAAGGCCATTTCTTCTACAAGATTAAGAACCCCTTTACCTCTTTGATCCCAAAAAAGGAAAAGTAAAATGGCCGATTTCAAGGACGGATTCATCCAGAAAACGGCGTCGATCGATCCCCCATTGCAAAACTGGATCAGCGGCATCACCAACGAAAAAGCATCATTATCATCACAGCCCTCAAATTCCCCCTTGCCCAACCCCAAAACCCCAAAACGAAAAATGGCTCGTAGGATTTTGTAGGGAACGAAGAGGAGTAGCAAGACGATGGCGGTGGTTACCCCAGCGAGTAGGACAGGGCGCGGAGAAACTGACGGAGAGGTCGACCGGCTGGCCGGAGAAAGGATGAGGCGAGCCGCCGGCGGCGGCGGCGGCGGCGGCGATGATGGTCGAGGAGACGCCGAGGATGGGAGGGAAGGTGGCGCTGAAATAGGAATTGAACAGGCGGCAGCTTGGTTCCGTCAGCCCTGAAATTTCGGTTCGAAACTTCCCGTATTTCCGAAAATTCAGGAACTTCAGACCCCGCGGCATGAAAACATTCCCGAATCGGGAAAAAATATCAAGTTTCACCGAGTAGATCGAACATATTTTTAGTAAATCGAAAATGTTTCAATTATATAAAAAGCTAAAAGACAACCAAATTACCTCATGAAATATTTTTCTACAACTCTGCGCATTTGCACGGGCATACCCATTAGTTTGTTTCGAAAATAGTTCTAACAAAATAAATTAAAATTAAAGTAACGTATTTTCTATTTTGAATTGAGTTTCTATTTTGAATTGAGTGTTCTTTATATCTCTCTTTCGTGAAGAAATCTCAACAACTTTCGTTGGTTTTTTTACCATCATGCTAGCCCTCTCTTTAATTATTTCTCATATATGTACAATTAGTTATGCATGTGAATCAATATAGATAGAAAAAATCTTTTAAAAAATATTTATTGTAGTAGTTATAATTATTGGGTTCACCTATTTAAAAGAAAATGAATGGTTTGTTTTTTATCATAATTTTTAGGATTTTTAATTTATTTGAGCGCCATATGACATCTTAAGAGTGTTTGTAGCACACCACGCATGCGACAGGTTGAGAGCGTTTGCAGGGAGTTTATTTGATTTTTACTATATAATAGATATTTCCTCCGTTTCACAATGTAAGTCATTTTAGCATTTTCCACATTCATAGTGATGTTGATGTTAATGAATCTACATAGATATATATGTCTAGATTCATTAACATCAATATGAATGTGGGAAATGTTAGAATGACTTACATTATGAAACAGAGGGAGTAGTTAATACAACATTTCTTATATTATTGTTTATGTACTGAGCTGCTAGCTAGAAAATTTGGATAAAAAAGTGAGCAGGTGAGATAATAGGAGATAAAATGATGGGTCCACCATATTAAGTGAAAATCAATGATACGATGTTTTCCTTTTTTTCTCAGAAATTTTTAGATTTCTCTAATTTATTAGAGCGCCACGTGACGGCTTAGTAATGTTTGTAGGAGTCACGTGACCGCTTAAGAGAGTTTCTATCAAGTTTAATGAACTTTTATATATAACCTGGTTTTTTCAGCTTTATCCTTTTTAATTTCTGTTCATACGATCGTACGTTACGTTCATATAAACGTAACATGTAATAATTTTTTTTAGGTAGTACATATATACGTACATTCCTCTCCATCCATATGCATAGGATAGGAAGGATCTTTTTTGTTTTTTTTTCTATTTATGAACAGTACATCGTACCTTTCTCTCCATCCATTCGCATCAGATCCATATTAGAAGGAATGATTTTAATAGATTTAATTTAATGGCCTGAAATATCGGACTCACTAATTTAAGTAAAAATTAAGGGCTATATGTTTTACTTTTTTCTCAGAATTTATAGGATTTTCTCTAATTTATTAGAGTGCCACTATAGCACACAACATAGTGATAGGTTGAGAGCGTTTGTAGGGAGTTTATTTGATATTTACTATATAATAGATAGTTAATATAGCATTTCTTATTATTTATGTGCTGAGCTGCTAGCTAGAAAATTTGGATAAAATAGTGAGCAGGTGATGTAACAATGATATGATGTTTTTCTTTTTTTCTCAGAATTTTTTAGATTTCTCTAATTTATTAGAGCGCCACGTGACGGCTTAGTAGCGTTTGTAGGAGTCATGTAGCGGCTTAAGAGCGTTTATAAAAAGTTTAGTGGACTTTTATATATAACCTGGTTTTTTCGGCTTTATCTTTATAATTTCCGATCTTACGATCGTACGTTAAGTTCTTACGAACGTAACATGTAATTTGTTTTTTTTCTGTGTTTTAGGTAGTACATACGTACATTCCTCTCCATCCATATGCATCGGATAGGAAGGATCTTTTTTGGTTTTTTCTCTGTTTACGAATAGTACATCGTACCTTCCTCTCCATCCATTTGCATTAGATCCATATTAGAATGAATGATTTTAATAGATTTAATCTAATGGCATGAAATATCGGGTCCTCTAATTTAAGTGAAAATTAAGGCTAGATGTTTTGATTTTTTTTCTCAAAATTTGTAGGATTTTCTCTAATTTATTAGAGTGCCACGTGGCGGCTTAAGAGCGTTTTTAGGAAGCCACGTGGCTGCTTGAGAGCGTTTTTAGTAAGATTAATGGTGTCGACGGGTGATACCCGTAGACCGGATATAGAGGGTATTGGGGTACGTTTGTACAAGGGTCTACGTAATACGACATCAAGCAAACAGAAGACGAAGATTATACTGGTTCAGGCCCCTTGATAGGTAATAGCCCTAATCCAGTTGATGTGGGATTATATGATGGAAAACACAGGTTACAAAGGGAACGATGGAACTCGATGGATCCGGCGAGATCGTAATCGAGTTGGTTCGACTAGATCTCTGGCGGTTTGGCTCCTGCAGGCTCCGACTTCGTAGGCTGTGGGGGTTGTGTTGACTCTGAGATTCGATGCCTTAGGTCCTCCCCGGGGGGTCCTTTTTATATCGCAGGTCAGGCGGTTTCCAAGTAGAACTCGGAAACATCAGACCCTACACGATACACTGACGACCCAGTCTTGTTCGAGTAGGATTCTTTCCTTCTATAAACTCCGTAAAGGATTTCCTTAGTGTATGCAGAGAGTATCCGTATACACGTAGGTATGCCATACCGATATTCGACATATATCGAAGGGTAAAGGGTGTAACTAACCCGTAACCCTGATAGTAGCCCCCGACTTCTGCTTAAATGAACTCGTGTAACCATTCGCGACTTCTAGTGTCGAGGCTGTTGTCATTCCCGGTGTGAAAACCGTAGAGACAGGACATAGTCGAGAACACCATGTGAAGCCCAACGGTCATGAGTGAATTTAAACTGAAGTCCGAAAGATTTCCACGCGTAACGGACCCAGAAATTTCCGGCGGCTATCTCTCTCCTTTCCTTGGAATTCGCACCGTCGGAAGTGCGTCTATTTAAGGGAATTTTGGGGATCCATTTTGAAGTCCGCCTGTTGTGAAGAAAACCTCCAGCCTCCAAGCGTTTCTCGTCTTCTCCGCTCCCGCAAAACCCTAGCTCGTCAATCTCAGTCCTTCCTCCGGCGATCTCCAGTCAGCGATGGATCTCGGCAAATCTTCCTCCACCAGCGCGTCACTGAAGAAGCTTTAGGAGGATGGCGCCCTTCCTGGTCGCGGGACCATGGAAAGAGAAGCAGGAGGTACTGAACCCCAACCTGTCCTAGGTCACATGGTTGCGATCGAGGACTACATTCTCTGCGGTTTTCTCCCTCCGCCTTCTGAATTTCTTCTCTTGGTTTTGAACTTCTACGGCCTTTCTTTGCTCTATCTGAACCCCAACTCTATTGCCTTCCTTAGTATTTTTTCACATCTTTGTGAGGCCTACATTGGCGTAGAGCCCTTTCTTGATCTCTTTCGCTTCTACTACGAGTTGCGTTGGATAGAATCCAACAGGGTGTCTGGATGCGTTGGATTCCGACTTCGGGATGGCCTGAAGTCGCGTTATATCCCCTTCCAGTGCCCTTCCTCTCGCAGCAAATGGCGGAGGAGGTGGTTCTATCTTCAGATAGAAAATTCGGATCCTATCTTCGTTGTTCCTGAGGAACAACCAGACAAGATTTCGTCTTGGACCGCAAAGCCCACCTTGACCCCTTCCCTTTAGTCCTTCATCGATGTTGTCGACGATCTCCGAGTACGAGGTTTGTCGGGGTATGAAGTCGCTGCTGACTTCATTGGTAGACGGATCCAGCCGCTCCAGGCTCGAGCCCATCCAGCCTTTGACTATTCTGGACCGGAGGACACGACCCGGGTTTCTCCTCGGGGTATCTTTCTTGCATTTACCCTGACTTACTTGTGTGCGCGTTTCTCCTGACTTATCTGTCGCGTCCCAAATTGACTCTAAAATACATCCTCGAAATTATGCAAAGAATAAGTAAAATCCATGTGAAAGCCTCCAACAATTAAAATGTGCAAAGCTAAAAGTCAAATAAGGCTTGGAGGATTTTTGTATATTTCCTAAAAGCCTAAAATGCGTAAATAAATTTTAGTGGAATTTTCAGAGCACAAATAATAATTAAGAAGAAATAAACAAAGTTAAAGTGGTTTTATAAAAAGAAAAATCCCTAAAAGTCCTTTTCCCCCCCCTTTCCTCTCTTGGGCCGGCTCGGCCCAGCTCCCTCCCTCTCTCTCCTCTCCCCCGCGGCCCATCGGCCTTCCCCCGCGCGCGCGTCGCTGACGGGCGGGCCCGCCCGCCACCCTCGCTGACGGGTGGGGCCCACCCGTCATCCCCTACCTCGCGCCGCGCCCGCCGCCTCGCCCGTGCCCTAGCGCCGCCGCCGCCGCGGATTCCGCCGCATCCCGCCGCCCCCGCGCGCAATAAAGAGGGGGAAATCACTCCCCGTGATTCCCTCCCCCTTTCCCCCCACTTTTCCCTCTCTCTCTCTCTCGGATTCGTTTGGAAATCCTCCCGCAAACTTCGCCGGCGTCATTGATGGAGCCGAGATCGCCGCGCCGGTTTCCTTCCCCTCCGGCCGCCCTCTCTCACTCCCAACACTATTTAAGCACTCCCCATGCCTCCCTCCTCCGTTTCCGACCCTTGCCGCTTTCTCTCCCCGTCGGAATCGAGCTCGCGCCGTCGTCCTCTCTCTCCGCCGTCGCCGCCGAGCTTCGGTTCGCCGCCGTCGTCGCCCCGGACCTCCTCCCGCTTCGGCATCGCCTCCTTCGGCTTCGCCGCGTCCTCGTCGACCTCGTCCACCCCTTCGTTTCGCCCGCCGACCGCCGGAACGCCGCCGTCCTCGTCGACCCGAGCCGCGCCGCCGCCTCTCTCCGCTTCGGTCGCCGTTCCCGTCGTCGCCGTCGACCCAGGGTGAGCCGAGGACCGCCATCTCGCTTCCCCCTTCCCTCCCCTCTCTCGGGCGCCGCTCCGTCGCGCCGGAGGTCGCCGCCGGCGACCATCGGGGCGCGGGCGCGCCGCCTCCCGTCGGCCGTGCCGGCGAGGCCGCCTTCGGGCGCGCCCCGCGGCTGCCATG